TAACCAGTCGCTTAAAGTTGTTCCGGTTCTTGTTAACTGATAAAAAGGCGTTGTCCTTACAATTGAATGAGTAACTGTAAGGAGACAATGAACACGGTTATATAAGAGATGGGGAAAAACAAAAATATCACGCTTATACACAAAGCTTCAAAGCTTAGGAGCAGCACGATAATGTTAGTTTGCGCGGGACCAATATAGGAAAATCAAGCAAATAATAAGGGAGTTAGGGGAGACAAAAAGGGTGTAATTACCCAAAAAGGGGACAATCAACTATAGAATAAACAGTATGGTGTTGAGTAATGTAACATGTCAAGTAATTGGCGTTAACGTTAATGCCAAAGGTATAAACGATAAGGTAATGCTTCTTGTGTTATAAGGAGGAAAATAGTTATGTTACTGCAGATCAGAGGGGGTATGCATTCCGAGCGATATACTGAAGAAAAGAAAAGGTTCTTCGGAAAAAAAATCAAGAGGTACTTATGAATTCTCGAGCCCTTGACACGTGCTCTTCATCAGACGAAATTTTTCCAAAGATTTTTGATTTTTTCCGAAGAACCTCTTCTATCCTTCAGTCATGTTACTGTTAAGAAGAGGAAGGTGGGGGCAACGAGAATACCTACGTGAGAACGCACAGTCTTCATATGTCCAACCCTTGTGCATTTAGTAGACACCTATCATGCATGCTTGTGCTCAAAGTCATGCAGATTACCTAGCATGCCTAGTCCAGCACCATGCATACATCCATACACTGAATTTTCCCATTTCCGAAAAGATGCTTTGCTAGGGCTTACCTTAACACCTGAATATGGATTACCAAACCGGCAGATTTCGTGTGATAGTCGCGCAGGCGACTACCTCCTTGGACACTTTGATCTTAGCGGACGTCTGTGCTTCGCTGATAGCAACTCACTTAAATACCTGTGCGTACAGTCAATATTGCTGTTAACATCTGGCAAGCTAGATCTCACAGGATGACGTAATGACCAGTTAGCTGGGTCGTATTATATTTATCGAAAGCTTCCGTAACTCGATGCGTGATAGTAGACTGATGTCTGTTGACCAACTCTGTATCACCCGTGTGTCATGCACTCCTCATTTTGCCCAAATGCGTTGATGTCCCAAAATCACATAGACTTAGGTCCTACTAAAGAATAATCGTTGCCTGCTTCGAAATATACCTTTGGCACGGTCACTGCAAGAATGGTTAGATTCATCACCTGGCGCCGCTTTAATTACCTCATCTCAAGAATCCTGCCCTTGTCTGCACAGAAAGTTAAGATTAGGTTTCTGATGCTGACTGGCCCCCTGCATTGACCACCGCTGTTTGAGGGACATCATTCGAGTGAAGTACACCGATTTTGTCTCAAATGAGACAGTCCCTACCCGCTGCGACCCTATTTCGGAGATATCCCAGACCATTCACGAGAGCCAACTGTGGTAATTTTGGCCCATTCTCTACTGTTTGCCTTACGAGCTCACTTATACTGCCCTCGAACCGGCGCTATTGCCCGCAAGGAAGCGTTGAAGAGGTCTTATCAAGACCTGATTAAATACACTTCGTTAAGACACGGAAGTGGCTCTTAGTCCTCCATTACTCGCCCTCCGTCGTAAGAGAAAGGTTATACTGTTCAGCTCTGCTGCCGCGGGTCAGCACGCGTAGACAGGTACAATCCGTAACATCCTTGAGGCCGGCTAGACCAAACGTAATCACAGCCTTATCAACTACAAGTACGGCGTGATTACAAAAGATAGATAGGTAACAATCTAGTATAGGAACCACCACCGAACAGCGGCACCTTACTTCCCGAAACACCTCATTTATAGACCGTAGTAGTAATGTAACGCTCAGAAGATTGTTAATAGTATTTATTATGTATTATGAATATAAAATGCGATAAAAACCTCACTGTACAGTGATAGAAAAATAGGTTTTTGTTCCCGTACGTTTCTGCCTTTGTGTCACAATGATTTGCGTAGGGGATGCAATTAAATGTGTGCATGAACTGTGTCGCACCTTTGTGTCGAGTAACACAACCTAGCCTATATAACGGTAGTTGCATGTCACTTAAGAGTTCCGTGAGGGAGGGGGGGGTGCAATATAATATGCAGAAGGGCCGTTGGTTGGTTAGTAGCCCTTGTTGGATCAGGAGTCCCCGCCAGAGTCCAAACTGGGT